TGATTGTTTCCTCTGGTATCAGATGCTCTCAGCTAGAAGGATTTTTAATAAAAACTTTTTTAGTTTTGGACGTTCGTTATGATGCGTAACCATGGCAACAAGGCAGTATTCTACAACAACAGCAGCTGATTAACATCTCAAAAGCTCAAATAATATCTCAACCACAGCCCCAAATCTCAAATGAGTTGTAAAGGATGTTCTGTGGATGCATTCTCATCTACCTGCCAGCTGTGCTCGAGTGCCTGACCACAGATATCCTGGAACTAGCAGGAAACACATCTCACAACAGCGGAAGGACAGGATTGTCCCTCGGCGCCTACAGTTGGCTGTCCGCAGCGACGAGGTGCTCGGCAGACTGCTGGGAGGAGTGGCCATCGCTCTGGGAGGAGTTCTGCCCGGCATTCGGGCAGTCCTACAGCCTGGGGGAACCGAGAGGCCAGCCGAGTCTGGGTGGACGGATCGGACGGCATCTGCAGCCAGTTTCTTAGGATCCACTGTGGGATGGACCTTTACAAGAGATTCTTCCTGCCTACAGCCATCAGTATCTATAGCGTCTCTTAATGAAATGAGGATAACGAGTTACAACAACAAATAATTTCCCTTTGGGATTAATAAAGTTTTTTTTTTTTTTTTATTGAATTGAATGTACATGTAATACTAAGATCACTTACAAATGCAAATTAAACTCCTGCAATGATGATGTCAAGAATGTTTATTTCTCCACATAAGATGAAAAAACTGAGTCCAATCTCAATTCAGTCTGCTGACTACCCATCAGATAAATACAGTAATGTCATTAACTGGATTTGTATGTACTGTATATGAATGTTTTTGTACAGTGCCCTGAGATACCTTCTGTTGTGACTTTTTAAATTAAACTGAATTGAAATGAAACTGACAGGAGTATCAATAACTCTGTTGGGTTAATCGTGTACAGTAGTCCCTCGCTACTTTGCGGTTCGTTTTTCAAGGATTCGCTCTATCACATTTTTGCAAAATAAGATTGGACATGACACACAATTGGCTGATTGATGGATGATCTGCACAATCGGCATGGATTATTTTATTTAAAGTAAATTGTTTTAAATTATTCAGCACCTGCTGCACCTGTGTGCAGCCCACAGCTGCAGGAGAAACTTATTTCTGCATCATGTCATATCTCTGCGCTACAGAAGAGAAGTGGGCATGGCCGAGAGTGCTGGCAGATGGCGGAGAGCAGCCGGAGGCTGAGGGCTAAGTTTATTACATTTTGTGCTCTTTTAAAGTGTGTAGATTTTATAAACATTGTTTAGAATATTGCAAGAGTGTGAGGAGGGTTTAAAACACCTTTATATATATATATATATATATACTAAAATAAACTACTACTTACTACTTGTGCTACAATTCCTACTTCACGATTGTTCACTTATTGCAGGGCTTCAGGGTATGGATCCCCTGTGGTAAAATGGGGACTACTGTATTGCAAATTTGCAATGTGATGTGATGCATGACCAGCTGTTTTTTTTTTAATTTTTTTATATTTTTTTTACTGGAATTGTCTTAAATTGGCATCAAATCACTTTGTTTTTTGCTCATATATATATGTATATATACTTTGTATTTATAGTTAAACCTTTTTCAACATATTGAGTTCATTCAATGATCTATTTAGGACACGTAAGATAATAACTGTTAATACTGTTTTCTACAGTACTCCACTTTTAAACGTCTGAACTATCCTTTATTGTTTGTGATAATATATTAAGCTAAGCAGAAAATGAGTAATAAAACACAAAACATGGTTGTTTCAGACACAGTTGTGAGACCAGCTATGTTTTATGGTCTTGAATAGAGTGGCATTGACAAAAAGACAGAAGAAAGAACTTGAATTGGGCAAAATTAAGATGTTGATGTTCTCCTTAGGAATGACAAAGATGGATATGATTAGGAATGTGATCATAAGAGGTACAGCACATGTTAAACAACTGGAAGATAAAGTTAGAGAGGCCATACTGAGATGGTTTGGACATGTCCAGAGGAGGGACAGTGGATATACTGGTAGAAGGGTGTTAGAAATGCAGCTGCCATGGAAATGACAAAAGAGGAGATATATGGCTGCAGTTAGAGAGGACATGGCAGTAGTTGGAGTGAGGACAGAAGAGGCAGAGGACAGAGTGAGATGGAGGAGGATGACTCACTTTGGCAACCCCTGAAGAGGGAAAAGCTGAAAGAAGATGAAGTTTCACAAAACATTGTTTTCTGTCAATCAAGAAAAACAAATATAAAACTCTTCAAAGGCTATAAAAAAACATCAGAACTTGCAGGAGTGCCATGTTGACCTTTGTGAGTTGAGGCTTCTTCCTTTAAGTGGCTTCATTTAATGATAGGTGGGGGTGGTTGCTCATGCTTGGTCGCTCAACTTTTTACACCTCCTCCACATAGCTGGCCTCTGCCCCTGTGGCTCTCTGAGCACTTACTCCTCGCTTTATCTGACCTTGGCTGGCACCTGTGACAGTCTTCTCTCCTGCACACCGAGTCACTGTCTTCAACAACCACCCTCAGCTTTTTTCTCCTTCCCTCTAGAATTTAAAGACCATTTATCCGCAAAAGCGCTGACAAATAACAGTGGCTCTAGCTGCTTCTTCACTTTGTACTTCAGGTGGTTGAGATGAATGATGTTCAAAATTATTAGGCCCCATATTGTT